GCTACTCGCTCTCACAGTCATCAGCATCGTCGTCTCCGCTCCGCCCACGCGCGTGAGTCAACCTCCAGCTTGCGAAATTATGCACCGATCGATATTTCTCTCTTCACCAACTCGCCGCATCCGGACGTATTTCTGGCGTATGCACTTAGGCTAGCACTAGCCTGGTGAGAACGCTGACAGCTACTGTTGCCTGAGCTGCGTGTATGCTACGTCGGCTAGTTAAACCGCGTCCATCTAACCGTCAACCCTGACCTCTGATTTACAAACCTTCAGGTTGTCGACCATCCTACTTTAACAAGTGGTTACTTCTTCTGAACTCGAATCTTCTTCCTTCCTAGTCTGCGTAATAATTAGGCGTTCACAATGGACGAATTTCCACCATAAGTGTAACATATTGTGGGCGCCCGATTCTAGCTCTTTTTCGACTGCCCAACTGACCAGGATGTCCAAGCGTCAGATGGAGATACCTGGCTTCGCCAAACCCTCACTTTCCACATTTCCAACTACCTTAACTTTTCTCGCGTCTCCTCATTTGGATTTGAGATCGCAGTGGACGAATCTGGCACACGATTTAGCTCTATTCGGCAGCATATGATCTCTGATTACCACCGAGCCAACTGACGTCATTCACATGTCAAATCAAACACACTTCTTCACCTCGACCCCACGTAGCTATCATACCACATTTGGTGACAAGGTTTTTCGCCGCAACTCTTCCTGTTTTTTTTAATTTCAAAGATCCAACAGGTGAAACAGACCAGCCCTAATGTCAGTGCAGTCAATCTCTATGTCTCCCCAGCCCTGATCGCATCTTCTACGCGTAAGACGGTCTGACTTGCAGACGTTTTCGTGTACACCGGAGCCCAAATCAGCGTGGTTTCTCCCACGTCAGTCGACTGTCGTTGCCCTTATTCCGATCTCCATCTCCAAGCTGTCAACTATTCCGCCATTCTCATGTTTGGCGGCTTGTCCCTCGGCCTGAACATCGGCCTTCGTCGTCCACATCCCTGGCTCTTTGCGATTGCCGATGTTCCTCATGCAATCCTGGGCTCGGACTTTCTAGTCGAATTTGATCTCATAGTGGACTACCTGTGTGCCCGACTGCTTGTCCGCAAGACCGGTCTGTCTAATCGTGGGTTGATTCACTTTGCAGGTATTTCTCGTCCTCATCGGAGGCCTCTTTTCCAACATCCGAACATCACCAACTACCAGTTTGACTGTGTCAGCGCAATATTGTATACCATATCAGCGCATCTGCTTTTCCTGTGTCCGTTTGACCTAGACGACTGGCGCCTGCCTGCCTACAGGCTTTGAAGGTGAAATTTATGCACATGCTACGACCGGGCATCATTCAACTGTCTGTGACCCCCACAGTGTCCCCTCTGCATGTGGTGCCTAAGATGGCATCGGGCGGCTGGAGACCCTCTGGCGACCACCGTGCACTCCGTAACGCCACCATCTCCAACCAGCACTCAGTGCCTAATCTTTAGGATTCCACTGGACCTATTCTCAGCAAAACTCATTTCTCGAGGATCAACGTTGTGCGTGCCTTCCATCAGATACCTGTCCGAAAAAGTGTCGGCACTACCCCATTCGGTTTCTTTGAATTCATCCACAGGCCCTATCGACCGTCGTAATGCTGACCAAACATACCAGAAGTCCATAGACCATGCCTTTCGTGGTCCGCCGTTTGTGTCCGTCTACACTGATGACATCTTGGCCACTAGGTGGAGTGCTGAAGAACAAATAGAGCCCCTTCCTTGATGTGTGACCACCTGGAAAATTACGGCATCATCATCAACCCATCTAAATGCGTTTTTGGTGTGTATTCTCTTTAATTTCTTGACGTTAATGTTGATTTAGAAGGCTTGGGTCCTCTCTCCTTCAAGATTGAAGCTATTCATGATTTTCCCCCACTAACTTCCAAGCGCCCGTTGCAACGTTTCCCTGGCATGGTTAACTTTTGCCGGCGGTCCCTACCGAACTGTGTTGGCCTCATGTTGCTGCTTACGAACATGCTTTCTGGCCCCGTGGGCCCACTTCAGCTTACTGGTGAAGCGCTGACTGCAGAAAACGCTGCGCTGACGCATCCAGCTCCCAAAGCTCCCTGGTGATTCACGTTTCAACCGTGGCCGTGGAGGCTGTTTTTTTTAATAAGACATTGCTTTTCGACTCGGTCATTGGTTTTTTGGTCAGATGGGGTTATGTAGCCCCACCTGAGGTAAACAAACCCCAGTCGCCTGTAATACGGGACCGGTGGTAATAGAAGTTTACACAGGTGCGGCCAGAGGATGCACAGGCGACGAAATCGAGTAGTTGTATGCAAAAGAAAAGCTATTGGGGAAGCGCGGTTGTACTTTGAATAGTTGAAAAATAGTTGCCCTAACTCCTGACCCTAACCCCTAGTTCTAACCCCTTACCTTGACTTATTGCCCAAGAGCCAAGCCACAACCCTAACTCTTTAACCCAGCCGCCTGTAATACGGGACCGGTGTTCATAGCGGTTTTTACAAATGGGGCCGGGGAGTGCACAGGCGACGACGCTGAGTAGCTGTTTGCAAAAGAAAAGCTATTGGGGATGAGCGGCTGTACTCTGAGTGGCTGAGAAATAGTCGCCCTAACCCCCTAATTCTAACCTCTAACCCCAACCCGTAGCCCAAGCCCCAAGCCACAAACCTAACTCTTTAACCCTAACCCTTAACCACAGCCCTAAACCCTAATCCTGGAACCTCTAACGCGAAAATTAGAAGGAGACAACAGGCCAAAAGTCAAGAAGGATCTCTAGCACTAGGTCGAAAAAGGCAGACACGACAACGAAGAAACAAGACAACCAACAGAGTAAACACCACAACGCACAGCAACACCATGCCAATATAATCACGCGAGCTCAAAATAATTGAGTAGGTCAAGAGTAGTGTATCAATCAGGTGCTGCT